TACAAATCTACAGTCTTCGACCATTTACGCGTATATTTACCGTCAACGACAGCCAGGGCGCCGTTAAATTGGCCTTTGACGGGTAGGTTTTCCAGATCTGCCATTGCCCAGCTTGGGTATACTGTCCAAGGACTGTCCGTGAAGATCTTCTCCACGCTCAGACCTAAAAGGCACTGGATGTCGGCGCACCCGGTAGTTGTCAGGAACACCTGGTTGTCACGTGATGCCTCTGATGACGTCTTGTTCAGAATAGCAGAGGAACTCATTGGCCACGCCCGATGGAATAGCCCGGCTGCTAGCGGTGACGCCAAGAGAGCATAAATGCTGGTTCCGCCGGAGCTTTGTCCAAACAGTGTGACCTGATGGAAAAGATAGGGCCTCACTATATCACCAGGTGGGCTGTTTCAGGTCATGTTATAAAGCATCTTATGTTTACTGATCAATGTTTGATAGGGATAAGATATTTCACTTATTGTTTCAGTTTTAAAATCAGTTGTCATGGAAACGTTTACCTTGTTTGGGTCGCCCCCAAAATTTCTGATATTGGATTGAACCCACTTCAAGACCTGAATCTGATCCATAAAACCGTAGTTCCCGGATGTTCTTGTTTCGGATGCCTTACTGAGGAGGTCAAGGGTCATAAACCCCAGTGGTCCCAGTCGATAGTTCATACTGACAAACACAAATTGTAAATCCCTAGCCACCTCTGGATTCGGCGAGTATGCGACCATGCTGCCATTTCCGACCACCAGGTCGCCGCCATGGATCCACACCATGACAGGTAGACTGTCACTTCCGTCTAAAGATGGCGACCATACGTTGAGATACAGACAATCTTCGTTTCCAACTGAGTGTGTAAAATCGGTATTATTTATAGGTTGTGTACACTGTGTCCCGAATGTAGTCGCATCATAAGTTCCCGACCAGCAGGTGCCCGTCGAGTTACTGAGAGGTACTGGGGCCTTCCACCGGTTCTGGTTTACAGGTGGCTCAGCGTAGGGGATTCCTTTAAACACGTTGACGCCTTGTTCCAGACTCCCTTTCACGAGACCACACTCCGTCATAACTACTGGACTGGTTATAGCTGCAGTCGGAGGTGCCCCGTGTTGCAATAGACCTCCTGTCGCTAGGGCGAGCCTCAAAGCTAACAGTGACAGCAGCGCCAACATCATATCGTCTGAAACACATTATCTTGTTGTACTTGATCATCTGTTGTCAAGGTGATGTGTAGGAACCACACGAGTGTGCTTCACGAGCATTCCCATATAGATACAAGGTCATCACACAACGTCAATTTTACACTAACGGCACAGAAAATATTACAGAATATCATTTTCAAAGAATTGCTTAAACAGAGAAGAAACATTAAATACATTAATATCATCAAGTGTAAGTCGAATGTAGATTGAATGTGACCGCGAGCAGCACTGAACATCACCTACCTTCAATCTAATGATTGTATATTCTGTACACCTGATGTATAATGGGCCTGTGGCCCCTTTACTGAATAAAAACTCTCTCTCTTCAGTTCAGGACACTGTTGGTGAGTGGAGTGGCCTGGATTCCTTTCCAGTCGAGATACCAAAGAATGAAGACGTTTGCCTCAGTGTTGACGACAGTATATAGTACAACCAGAAATTATTGAGAATTTAAGATTGTATTAAATGTGAATATTAGCAGGACATAACTCCAGATTCAAAAACAGGTGAACAGTTAGTATTTTGTAATGTGCAGCAATGCAGGCTTCAATGCGGCAGGGCATACTACTGATCAAAGAAGTTAGAAAGTCGTGGTCCATGCTGTCCCAATATCGGTACACCTCTTCTTTCATTTCAGCAATATTTGTCAGATTTTTCTTATTGACACTTTCCTTCATAAGTCCCAAACATTTTCTATTGGATTTAGGTCAGGGCTATAGCTTGGCCCATCTAATAATGTTATATTTTGGGTCCGAAACCAGGCATGTGAATGCTTTGAACGATGTTTTGGGTCGTTGTCCTGCTGGAGAATACAAAAAAAATCCATAGAACACGTGAGCAGATGGAAATAAATGAACGTTCCACACACAACTTTTATTTGAGAAATTCACATTGTCCCAGTTTGTCCCAGTAAAATGTCTATGCTGTAAGCACCAGTTCAACCTTCGCTCCTTTTGTTCAGGTTTCATGATCGGTGATGGAATTCCTCGACTTTTCTGCCTACCCATTACATGCAGCTCAGTTCTCAGCCTAAAGTTTTCTAAACTCCTTCGTTTGTTTTTAGAAACAAGAATACCAAGCCGCCTCCTGTCACCGACAGTCAATTTTCTGGGCCTACCTGCGCATCCCCGGTGCTCAATGTACCATATCCATTTGCAATATACTTTAAACAGTGGACAAAGGGATGCCTGTTCCACTTGAAATCACTTTAGCTGATCCGATGTCCTTGTTATAATACTCTAAAATCAACTTCCTCTTCTCTAAATCATGCATACTGAGGATCACTGAAAATGTCGTCTGCTAGCAAGTAAACAAAGGGGAATAAGTCTTCACAAACTAATGAAAAAGGATTAACGGAGTTGTCTCTCTTGAATGAAACCAATCACTTGATAGCTGGTCAGGGTTGTTTATACTAGAAATCCAACAAAACATATTCCTAAAATTCTCAATAATTTCTGGTCATACTATAAATCATGGATCATATAGGTGCGTGTCAAACAAGGATTGGGCAACTCTGTTCAACAGTAGATCGTACCAGGGGAGTTGTGTTCATTGGTGATTGTCGTCTGTAGGTTATATGTGTTGTATGTCAGTGGCAGTGCACTGTGTGATGCAGTAGCCATGTGGTAACGTGCCGCGGTAGTTGAGCCCAGGAGGAACACTTCTACATGCTCGTGACACACCCTTAGTGGGGAACACTTCTACATGCTCGTGACACACCCTTAGTGGGGAACGCTTCTACATGCTCGTGACACACCCTTAGTGGGGAACACTTCTACATGCTCGTGACACACCCTTAGTGGGGAACACTTCTACATACTCGTGACACACCCTTAGTGGGGAACGCTTCTACATGCTCGTGACACACCCTTAGTGGGGAACACTTCTACATACTCGTGACACACCCTTAGTGGGGAACACTTCTACATGCTCGTGACACACCCTTAGTGGGGAACACTTCTACATGCTCGTGACACACCCTTAGTGGGGAACACTTCTACATGTTCGTGACACGCCCTTAGTGGGGAACACTTCCACATGCTCGTGACACACCCTTAGTGGGGAACACTTCTACATACTCGTGACACACCCTTGAGTGGGGAACACTTCCACATGCTCGTGACACACCCTTAGTGGGGAACTTCTACATGTTCTACATGCTCGTGACACACCCTTAGTGGGGAACACTTCTACATGCTCGTGACACTTCACCCTTGAGTGGGAAACACTTCTACATGCTCGTGACACACCCTTAGTGGGGAACACTTCTACATGCTCGTGACACACCCTTAGTGGGGAACACTTCTACATGCTCGTGACACACCCTTAGTGGGGGAACACTTCTACTCGTGCTCGTGACACACCCTTTAGCGGGGAACACTTCCACACGCTCGTGACACACCCTTAGTGGGGAACACTTCTACACGCTCGTGACACACCCTTAGTGGGGAACACTTCTACACGCTCGTGACACACCCTTAGTGGGGAACACTTCTACACGCTCGTGACACACCCTTAGTGGGGAACACTTCTACACGCTCGTTACACACCCTTAGTGGGGAACACTTCTACATGCTCGTGACACACCCTTAGTGCGGACACCTGTTCCGGCGTCGTGTTTCTCAAAGTTAATAAGTCGACATCCATAACTCCCCGTCATTATTTACTTCTACTATGCTAAGTATTTGTGTTATATATTTAGATTAATTGATTTACATCGTGTTACTAGTTTAATTCCCAAACAGGGTCACAATAAGATACTACCTGTCATGTATCTTTGATGAACATGACTTCTTTAGTTTCATGGCTGAACAACTTGCTGTTTTGTCTCATAGATGTATTACTTCTTTAATTTCATAGATTATTTAAATAAGGTGTCATGTGGTAGTGTTTTTCGTTGTGTAACACTGTTCCAGTTGTAAGACATTGTATATGTGGCTAGTCAGTAGTGCGATCTATCAGGACTTGTGGTGTATTTAGACTTGTAGTAGATTTAGACAGAAAGATGTGGACGGTGCTACAAGAAGCTGTGTTTCGTGCTGCCGTATTGCTACCTCTGCATCATGCCAACTTGTGATGTTAGAATACAATTGTTAATTCCACCAAATGTCGTCGTTGTTTGTTGGTGTCACCCCTAGCTCTATATGGAATGATTCCTGGATTCCTTGGAGTCAACTTTGTGTGCAGCCTATTTCAGTGTTGTCACAACCCCTAGTGTACAGTACACAACCCTGTGCATTTAAAAGAACCCACGAATCCGTTGTTATATGACCAGATGGTGGCCACATGAATACGTGCAAACACCAAGTGGAGGGTTCAGCAACGTGCAGTAAACGTGGACAAAGTACTGTGACTATGTGTTCCAGTCCACACAGCTGTGAATGGGTACCTCGTAAGGACGGGAAAGCTGCAATAACGCGGTGCGCCTAGTGGCTGAAAGAGTTGTATGGTCCCCAGGGAGTTGAGACTGATAATACGACGTGCCGTTGGGACTGACATCCAATGATCGAGGGAAAAAAAACAAGCACCTTGAGCATGTACTAGTTGCGTGGATATGTGCACTACAAATATGAATGAATGAATGAATAAATACAATAGTTATAACTTGTTAGGTTTAACTTGCGAATCAACACGCACAAGGTATTGCTTGATCTGCTTATTTCTAGACATAGATGTGCTTCGCTCGCCTGCAACAAATACCTATTTGGCTGAGTTGACCTCAGTTTACAGTCGATATGCATCTCATGCTCATTGAATATCATGCATAACATTTGGTGGTTGTTGAAAAAGGAACGAAGAATATTGACACATCAATTTTAATTCAGAAGTTTAAAGGGTAACCTTGAACTAAAAGCTTGTTCACATTCGTGTATTTTAACATACTGTGATCCGTACGTAGGAGAAGCGTCCGTTTTCCGAAGGGTTACTTTTAAAGGGGTCAATATCAATTACTGTATTCGATTTAACAACTTTGACCTTTATGGTCAGTTGATCCAGGCATAGGAGAAGAAGCCGTTTCGAAGCAGGAAGGAACACTGGTCCCGGTGGTAGAAGGTGGTCACCGTCGTTGTCGACCCCAGCAGGGCTGTGCTGACCTTCGTGGGTTTCCACGTCCTTGACGCTGGTTCACCAGTCTTTACGAAGGCGGATATTTCTCGACGTAAGTTGGCAGTGAAATCCAGGTCCGATTGGGAAGGATTGGGAACTATGTCCTTTATTCCTCCGAAAAAGGCAATAGCGTCCCAACCGTGGAAGGCGTATCGTCCGCGGCCCTGGACAGGTTGGGAGGGCCACTGTGTCGCAATGTATCTATAGGTGAACGACGTGAAATATCTGTCAGCAACATCGGCTACAACGTCCATTGGGCATATGACCCTCAGATCAGAGGTCAAGTCCGACAACTGAAGTTTGGGGGAGCTATATTGTGATTCCGGGTAAAGTTGCAGTAGTTTGTTTGAAATCTCACTTCCAAAGGAGGCAAGCTGTCGTGTGACCTCTGACCTGTACTCACTCCACGTGGTGATGTTGAGATGGTATTTGTCCGTCTCTTCAGCCACATTACCTGCCGCAAATAAACAAAGTGACACATTTCTCGTCTTATTCACACTACTTATTGCTCGGAATGACTCTCTCCATTAAATATTCCTGTTACTGCATCTTGTATTGATCGACCTATACCTTTGACATTTAAACTTGTTTGAACGTACAAGTTGTTTGAATGTTAGACCGTAATGAATGGTCAGCCAATGATCCATTTGTGCGTCCTTCATTACAAGCAGTAGGGTTTTGGGGTGATACAGTCTAGGGTGTTGGGGTGATACAGTCTAGGGTGTTGGGGTTATACAGTCTAGGGTGTTGAGGTGACACAGTCTAGAGTGTTGGGGTGATACAGTCTAGGGTGTTGAGGTGATACAGTCTAGGGTGTTGAGGTGATACAGTCTAGGGTGTTGGGGTGATACAGTCTAGGGTGTTGAGGTGATACAGTCTAGGGTGTTGAGGTGATACAGTCTAGGGTGTTGGGGTGAAACAGTCTAGGGTGTTGAGGTGATACAGTCTAGGATGTTGGGGTGATACAGTTTAGGGTGTTGGGGTGATACAGTCTAGGGTGTTGAGGTGATACAGTCTAGGGTGTTGAGGTGATACAGTCTAGGGTGTTGGGGTGAAACAGTCTAGGGTGTTGAGGTGATACAGTCTAGGATGTTGGGGTGATACAGTCTAGGGTGTTGGGGTGATACAGTCTAGGGTGTTGAGGTGATACAGCCAAGGGTGTTGAGGTGATACAGTCCAGGGTGTTGGGGTGATACAGTCTTGGGTGTTGAGGTGATACAGTCTAGGGTGTTGGGGTTATACAGTCCAGGGTGTTGGGGTTCTACAGTGTAGGTTGTTTGGGTGATACAGTCCAGGGTGTTGAGGTGATAAAGTCCAGGGTGTTGGGGTGATACAGTCTAGGATGTTGAGATGATACAGTCTAGGATGTTGAGTTGATACAGTCGAGGGTGTTGAGGTGATAGACCAGGGATGGTGATGGGTGGTTTTGGTGTTTGTGTGTGTGTTTGTGTGTGAGTGTGTTTGTGTGTGAGTGTGTTTGTGAGGGGGAGAGTGGTTTTAAACAACAATGTAACAAAACCAACTCACTGAAGACAGTAGGCACATCGACAGCTTTCCCTTGTTTCCAAGCATCCATGGGTGATTGAGGGATCACGTAACCTAAACACAAACATGGCGTAAGAAGAATTTCGTCACACTGGCCAGTAGGTCTGACAGCTCCTGGAGGTCACCTCCTTCACCACACGAGTCACAGAATGCCGGGGCCAGCAGTTGGCTCAAACGTTCCCCAATGGAAAGGTATAGGATTATGTGTGGGTAAACGTTCGCGGTCCGCCGAACATGTTGGCAGTACTCGGACGGGCGTTGCAAGATTTGTCTTCAAACTCATTCAGATCGCAGTACTCGAGCAGTACTCATGACAAATCGTGGTGGTAGCCGGATCGTTGGCGGCCATAACATTTACTATTACACTTCATCGTAATGTGTAACTGTAATTCATTTATTGATATCACCATACGACCGTTAGTGGCAACCCATATCTCCTACAACATGAGTCTTGCTTCCCCTCAACGTTGTGCCAACATTCTGGGAAGCAGGTCAACATGATGCCCCTCTTTCCACCGTTATGATCGCATCACAACCACAGACTTAGGCGATACAAGTAAACTCGCCATTGTCAACACAGTAACAGTCTGTGGTCACATATTTCCAAGTGAGGGTGAACCTCGGTCTGTCAGTATAACAGAGCTCTAGAATTGCTATCATATATATATATATATATATATATATACGCACAAAATGTCCAAAGTAGTACAGGTGTTCAGTCATAAATATTGCATAGATAAATAAAAACAGAATGCCGTTTTCTCCAACATGTTTCGTTCTTTACTCTTCAGAGAACCGCTACAACGAAACATGTTGGAGAAAAACGGCATTCTGTTTTTATTTATCTATGCAATAATATATATATATATATATATATATATATATATACAAATCTACAGTCTCTGACCATTTACACGTATATTTACCGTCAACGACAGCCAGGGCGCCGTAAAATTGGCCTTTGACGGGTATGTTTCCCTGATCTGCCATTGCCCAGCTTGGGTATACTGTCCAAGGACTGTCCGTGAAGATCTTCTCCACGCTCAGACCTAAAAGGCACTGGATGTCGGCGCACCCGGTAGTTGTCAGGAACACCTGGTTGTCACGTGATGCCTCTAATGACGTCTTGTTCAGAATAGCAGAGGCACTCATTGGCCACGCCCGATGGAATAGCCCGGCTGCTAGCGGTGACGCCAAGAGAGCATAAATGCTGGTTCCGCCGGAGCTTTGTCCAAACAGTGTGACCTGATGGAACAGATAGGGCCTCACTATATCACCAGGTTTACTGATCAATGTTTGATAGGGATAAGATATTTCACTTATTGTTTCAGTTTCAAAAATCAGTTGTCATGGAAACGTTTACCTTGTTTGGGTCGCCCCCAAAATTTCCCCTTATGTTTACTGTTCAATGTTTGATAGGGATAAGCAGATATGTCACTTATTGTTTCAGTTTTAAAATCAGTTGTCATGGAAACGTTTACCTTGTTTGGGTCGCCCCCAAAATTTCTGATATTAGACTGAACCCACTTCAAGACCTGAATCTGATCCATAAAACCGTAGTTCCCGGATGTTCTTGTTTCGGATGCCTTACTGAGGAGGTCAAGGGTCATAAACCCCAGTGGTCCCAGTCGATAGTTCATACTGACAAACACAAATTGTAAATCCCTAGCCACCTCTGGATTCGGCGAGTATGCGACCATGCTGCCATTTCCGTCCACCAGGTCGCCTCCGTGGATCCACACCATGACAGGTAGACTGTCACTTCCGTCTAAAGATGGCGACCATACGTTGAGATACAGACAATCTTCGTTTCCAACTGGGTGTGTCAAATCGGTATAATTTATAGGTTGTGTACACTGTGTCCCGAATGTAGTCGCATCATAAGTTCCCGACCAGCAGGTGCCCGTCGAGTTACTGAGAGGTACTGGGGCCTTCCACCGGTTTTGGTTTACAGGCGGCTCAGCGTAGGGAATTCCTTTAAACACGTTGACGCCTTGTTCCAGACTCCCTTTCACGAGACCACACTCCGTCATAACTACTGGACTGGTTATAGCTGCAGTCGGAGGTGCCCCGTGTTGCAAGAGATCTCCTGTCGCTAGGGCGAGCCTCAAAGCTAACAGTGACAGCAGCGCCAACATCATATCGTCTGAAACACATTATGACATGACATGACAAGACATGACATATTTATTTGTATATGTGGCCGTGAGGCCAATAGTACATGTGTACAATAATAACAGTGCATTTATGAGCAACCTGTAAATACGCGAGTTATAGGAACATCAATAAATCCATAAACACCCATTCACAGTTTACATTCTTTCTCTCAACCTAAGTATGTGGTACAACACAAGGGCTACCTTAAACAACAAGTCAATATTTTCTGTGCGAAGTAGCATACAGAATTTTTGTCTCGACGGTTGGTTATAGAAAAAATAAGACATATATGTTTCTCTTATTTCTAAATATTTCGGGCATATTAGTAATACATGGTACTCATCTTCTTGCGATAAATTGCAGAATGGACATTGGGTATCTATTGCATTTGAAGTTTTGGCAAATCGCGCCGCTTGGACTTTGAAGTTGTAAGCGTTACATCTAAATTTAGTAAGCCTATGCTTAAGTTGTGGTGATTTAATCTTTGAAAGGTAAATTTCTGTATTAATACAATATTTATATTCTGAATAAAAGTTGACACAGGTTGATGACGTTATTTCATTATACCAGTCCTGTTGATAAATGTCTTTGCATCTCTGCTTGAATACTTCGATGAAATATTGTGCATTACTTAAATTTTGAGCGAGCCATACATTTCCAAAGCCACGACTAAAAAGAATAGTTCTAACGAAGGAAACCCAATTAGTATCTCCGGTATCATCTAGTGTTTTAAGCATTTCATAACTACATCTTGAATATCGTGAAATTGGTTGTCTCATCAATCTTAGCCAATATGAAATAACCCGACATCGGGCGTTAATAAACAGTGGAAAACGTCCACATTCAGCTAGAATAACCTTGTAACCTGTAGCCAACACGCAACAAAAACTTACAGAACTTTGAATGTACCTTTTCAATATTCTTGTTTATGTTAATGCCCCATATTTCAGAGCCGTACAATAAAATTGGTAGAATTGTTCCATCAAACAGTTTAAATGATGCATGGAGCGGTAATTCTTTATATTTGCATATGAATTTCTTTATGACATGTAGGGCTCGTTCAGCTTGCATAGATAATGTTTCACAGGCTCTGGAGAATATATTTCTACACGAAAATATAATACCTAAATATTTGTAATATGATACCACCTCCAATTTTGGGACATTAAGGAACCATTTTTCACTTTTGGAGATTTTACCCCCATTTTTAAAAAACATTACTTTAGTTTTACTAATATTTATCTGAAGACCCCATTTCAAACAATATTCATTTAGAGTATCGATCTTGCATTTTACCTGGACAACAGAATCGGCAAGAATCACGACATCATCTGCAAATAGCATTATTGCAAGATCTGTGATATGTTCGTTAATAAATACACATTTCGTATCATTTGATAACATTTCCTTAACAAGTTCTTCAAGATATAACAGGAAAAGTACAGGTGATAAAATGCAACCTTGCCTCACTCTGGCATATGTATCAAATATATCACTCATTTGAAATTTACTGGTTCTAACAGATGCTCTCACATTGGTGTACATATTACGTAAAAGACGTTGGAGTTTGCCATGTATACCTGACTGTAGTAGTACATATAACAGTTTTGATCTATTAACGGAATCAAACGCTTTCTTAAAGTCTACGAATAGACAATAAAACTTTCCCCCTTTCTTCCGCAGATATTTATGGATAATACTGTTGAGAGTAAATATATGGTCCGTAGTTGAATACTCTTCTCGAAATCCCGCTTGGCACTCAGACAAAAGTTCAAGAGTGGATATCCAAGACTTAATGCGATTATCTAATATAGTGGTAAGTAGTATATACAATGATAGTCCGAGACCAAGTCCAACAAAAGCCTCTGTAAAGCTTTATTTCATAAATAAAGCTTTTGTCAGGCCCTTAGATCTCGCCACCATTGTATATACTACTTTTGAATCCCCAGTTAACTTCCCGGTCACTATGACCGCGAACTAGCACTTTCCTTATCACGTGGCACTATTGTGCCCGCCCTATGTCGTGTTGACCTCGAGGAAACAGTTTAATGTGAATCGCCTATGATCTCTTTGGTGTTCGTAATGAAGGCTTGCTGGGCTTTTCGTACTCCCTGTTCTATGTACTTTTTTTCTCATCTTCACTGATAGCAGACTTACGAGACTCGGACCGGATTTCTTGTTTCATCTTACCGTAGTTGTCGAGTTCAGAGAGGATTGAACGAAATTCCTCCTCTGAGATCTTACTGTCAGTGAGTGCCGTGGAAATACGCTCGCTTACCGTGTTCAGCTTTGCTTCGGCCAGAACCCTGATCTCATCATGTTTCAACGCTTTACGATGCAGTCTGCGGGATGCAAACTTAAACACCAACCCTGCCACCCCTACAACCCCAGCTGTTATTTCAATGCCTAGCACTATAGGTGCGGCCATGATGGTGGCTAACAACCCAACACCTGCCGCCCCTAGTCCCATGCTGGTTGTCGTAAGGGCAGTATCAGCCCCATCCACGATATTGAAAGCTCTATGGTACTTCTTACATAGTGCTTTCCGCGTGTCGCGGTCTTGTTCTAGTTGGGGTTTTACATCACATAACTGTCTCAAGCGGAATCCGTCTCTACGGTTTCCAGTGTCTTCGCGACTTCCTCTACGACTGGGTACAGTCCCATCCTGTGTATAATATCTACTGCAAGATATTTTTTAATTCGTCGATTTTAAAATGAGTATCAATGTATTTGGGGCTTATAAGGGCTAGGTTCTCATTCAGTATAAGTCGGGTAAGTTATGTTTTAATTCATAGTGGTTAAATGTGGCATAAATGTATTTGAGGCTTATAAGGGATAGGTTCTTGTTCAGGAAAATCTGGGAAAGGCTAATAGGTGCATTTTCTTCTACCTGAACCAGTGAAGGTTCTACTAAGATGTTCGATCCCGAGTGCCTGATGATACGGCAACGTATGCCCTCATAAGAAAGTCCAGCTGGCCAATATATTGTCAACCCAGGTAAAAGTTGCCAGTGGTAACTCAAAGCAGTGCCTGCGAGAAGGAGTTCTATGGTGAGTCTGGTTTCACAGTCATCAGGTAAGTTGGCCCTTAAACTTGAGCCCTCAGATGAATGTAACATGTTGCCTGAGCGGACTGTTCTTTGGGAAACTCTTATATTATCAGAATTCGGTATGAAAGACGTGAGCCAGACGCCGTTGTTCCTAATTTCGGAGGCAAACCCATTTTTTGTTTATGGAGATGTAAGGTGCTGTGAGGGTTAAGTTGATAAACCATTCAGGTTCTTTATATAATGTTAGGTCCGCCCACCTATACACGTTGTCTTTCAAGCGCATGGCGTACAAGGAGTTGTCATCACCCAAATCGAACCCCTCCACGTTCTCTAGATCCCCGAGTGTGATGTTGGGTCGATGATCGGTTATTGCCGCCCGCCTATACACGTTGTCTTTCAAGTGTAGGATGTACAAGGCGTCTTCCTCGCCGGGCAGATCGAATCCCTCCGTGTCTCCTAGATCGTTAAGCATGGCGTTGGGTTGATGATGATTGGACATTGCTATATTACTATTACGAGATAATTTCCAACTGTTTTTCTGATAATTTCTCAGGGGTGCACTTCACCCCCATGAAGTGTATGTTGTCGGGTAGGAAGATCTTGGTGAGTGATATCGTGTCTTCCACGGTCACGGTGACCCCCCTGCAGATTGGTGTGGGAGTCGACACCCACCCGCATGTAAACAGTGCAAACCTGATACTGGTGCCGTTTCACCCACCGGAGTTTGATCCCCTTCACAATTTCGACATCATCCAGCGACGGTTCCCCTAGGTAGACTTGGATGACCAGCGTGGAGTTCTCCAGGATGTTGACCACGCCTTCGAATTCAGACACCAACTGCAATGGCACGTCTTGCACTCCCGGTTTACTCGATAGCATGTGGGCTGCCATACTGGAGAGTGGGCTGATGATTACACTACGTCTCTCCGCGGGATGTAAGCCACGAGTAGGGTTCCGTTGTTCACGACTTTGTTTAGGTAGTTGTCTTTGTTCTCCGTGAACACGTAGGGGGAGCCTAGACTAATGTTGAGAAACCAGTCGACTTGAGCGGGTAACAACACCCACTTGTTGGCGTTGGTGAAGACGAGGGTATATGGCTTGTTTCGGGCGACGGTCGTGCTCTCAACATCTTCTATGTCGAACAGTTTACCTCTGAACGATTGGGATACCGACCATGTATCATCACCGATGCGGACTAGGTCGAACCGAGTGTTGAGGGCCTCTCCTGAGGTATCTACTATGTCACCTAGGGTTCTACCGATGGAGGAGACTTCAACACGTTTGTAAATGTTGTTTTTCAGTTGCAAGGCGTACAATTTACCATCTACTCCGGGGTCGTCGAATCCGCGTGTGTCCCCGAGGTCGGAGATCCCCACATTGACGCATTTTTTCAACTTCATTCCGGGACCTTGCGCGCTAGTCATTTTATGTGCAGCGTTATGCTGAGGTATCCTATATTCACAGGATTATGCTTTATATCTAACACTGATATTATCAACTCAGGGATGTTGCCCTGAGTTAACCTTTTATACTGACGCGGTGAAAACCACTCGGTTCTACCGTCGTTGTATTTCTCCGTTTTCACCGGTACGGCTCTCAGTATTGTGGAAGGGTGACCACCTTGAATGTTGTCCGTTGTGCTCAACTGACTGAGATGAATGCACAGCTCTCGGTATGGTACTAGGTCGGGTAACTTCGTGCCTGTGACGGTAGTTGTGGGTTTTATCTTGTCCGGCGACATCCTGAGTGTCCTCGCCAATGGTCGACCGAGCCTCAAGGGGTTTATTCCGTTGTTGGTCACCGTTTAGGTCGTTCATCTTGAGTTTGGCTCCCAAGGGTTTGAAGACCTCGTCGCTTAGCGAGCACACGCTGTAGTAGCCGTCAGTTTTCTGGTTGCGGGCGCCACTGACGAACAGCTTGTTGTTGCTGGCGTGATGTTA